TTCCTCATTTTGCGATTCAGGAACTACTAAAAATAAAAGAATCAACATTAAACTACGTCAAAATTAAAATCAGGGAGCAAGAATTTCGATGTGAAGCAAAACTCTCTGGGAAGATAATACCTATGAATAATTGTACCATGCCCTGCTATCACCTTATATTGATTGGCCTTGATGTGTGTGTGGCAAGTTGGCAAACCTTCGTCAAGTTGTTCGTCAGGTTGGATAAAAATCAAAATTTTTTGATTTTTGAGGCAGATTGGTCAACTTGCTGCTCTGTGTGTAAACAAGTTGGCAACCGTTTAGAGGCGTATTAATAGGTTCGTTCGCGTAGCTGTTAATTGTTCATGTTTAACCAAAACTTACAAGTACAAGTACTTACAGATGACATTTCGCCGAAATTTGGCAGTTGGTTGGTTTCTGTTGGAGATTTTAAACGAACGCACCTAATATCAACATGTATTTTTCGGTTCGTTTCGCTAGTGAAAATGTGTATAACTTGTGAAAACTGGGGCGGTAGCAATAACAAATACATAAAAATGAGAAGCATTCCTAGCATAGCTTAAAAATTTATCGGTGCTGTTGTGTTGTTCACAGTTCAAAAACTCTCACTCAAATAAGATCAGCCAACTGGCTGGTGCGTTTGTAGGGAATTTCGTTAAGTATCGATAAATCAATGCGTGTGTAGGGCCTTTAAATCAAAAATATGATTTTTCTGTGGCATTCCATTGCGACTGGTGGGACATTTGACTTCATAATGTGATCAACTGTGAGTTACTATGTCGTCAGAACTTATACAGAAGTGGGAATAAATTTGTCCACATAGATAAATAACTAACGTATCAAATTCCTTTAAAAAGTACTAAATTGGGTGGGACATTGAAAACCCCTCCATATTTTATATTTTATGTTTTATGTAAGACCAAAAACAAAACATATCAAAATTTTTGCACCAACCAGTATATAGAATGTGGTACATACAAATTTTTTGATTAGTCATCATGGAAGCCAAAATGCGAATTACAAACAAAATGGAATTACTCGTATCACACATCATCTTTCTATTAGTGTGAGTAGTAGTAGTTTGAACAAAGACTATGGCACGGATGACGATTTCAACTTGCGCAATGCCTCTAGAAAGGACCAAATAACAACATATAATCTCAATTCTATTTATAAATATATATGTATGTACCATTTATGTGTTATGTTTATATGTATGTATGTATGTATGCACATATGTTTGCTTGTGTAGCTGTACAGGTTAGTACAGCTGTTTGTACAGTTTGTTAGTATGTTTGTTATAATGTATGTACCTATGTATGCATGTAGGACCGTATTACTTTGAAATAAGGCATACAAAAACAGCAACACAAAAATTCCTCTTAATTTTGTATTTATTTTTCAAAGTGTGTTGCTAAAAAATAAATTCCAAAAAAAAAGCTCAGCTCAACAAAGTGGCACATAGTGTTGCCAGACTGCAATGGATGATTGTGCGCATGAACTAAATAGTATAGAGGCAAAATCGCAGGAAAACTAACACAAATAAACACAAGGATTAAAAAAGCAACAAAAAAAAAAAACAAACAAGAAAAAAGTAATAACGAAAAATTAGAGTCAAAGGAGGAAAATGTATAAAATTAAATAGTTTNATATAGAGGCAAAATCGCAGGAAAACTAACACAAATAAACACAAGGATTAAAAAAGCAAAAAAAAAAAAAACAAACAAGAAAAAAGTAATAACGAAAAATTAGAGTCAAAGGAGGAAAATATATAAAATTAAATAGTTTAATCGTATTAAAAACAATATCAAGAAGGAAAAGAGGAAATTTACAGGAGTATTAATTTCGTTAGTCAAAAAGACACCGCATGTTTCCAGCTGAAAATCGATTAGTTTTTAAATCCGTACGTCAAACTCAACGATTATAGGAATTTCGTAAATAGTCTAAATTTCAATTCATTAATTTCAAAATATTTATACTCTAAGTGGGAGTGTATTGGGACATTCCAAACGAAAAGGGGTAAAAATATTTCATTCCANGGACACCGCATGTTTCCAGCTGAAAATCGATTAGTTTTTAAATCCGTACGTCAAACTCAACGATTATAGGAATTTCGTAAATAATCTAAATTTCAATTCATTAATTTCAAAATATTTATACTCTAAGTGAGAGTGTATTGGGACATTCCAAACGAAAAGGGGTAAAAATATTTCATTCCATTTTAGGGGGTCTGCAAAAAATGCACAAGTTAACTGTTTGTTATTGCGCTCTTTGTTTTTTTTGTTAATTTTATTTTTAGATTTTATTTGTTTTTAATTTTTTTGTTTTGTTATAAAAAAAAACTATTAATTTAGCATTGCAATCAACATTCCAAAAGAGCACTACTAAAACAAATTGTGTTGGAATCAGTATTTCTTTAATTTTTTTGATTTCTTTATACATTTATTTATTTATTTATTTTTTTCAATTGCAGCCCACAAGTAAAGTTTGCCCGCGTGCTTTGTTTTCTTGTCTTATATGCATTTTCTACAAAAACGTGTTCTGTCAAAAGTAAATAACTTCTTCTTTGTTTTTTAGTTATAAAGTAAANGTTTTGTTATAAAAAAAAACTATTAATTTAGCATTGCAATCAACATTCCAAAAGAGCACTACTAAAACAAATTGTGTTGGAATCAGTATTTCTTTAATTTTTTTGATTTCTTTATACATTTATTTATTTATTTATTTTTTTCAATTGCAGCCCACAAGTAAAGTTTGCCCGCGTGCTTTGTTTTCTTGTCTTATATGCATTTTCTACAAAAACGTGTTCTGTCAAAAGTAAATAACTTCTTCTTTGTTTTTTAGTTATAAAGTAAAAAATCCAACCAAATTTACAAACTACATAGTTAATATTTATAAACGTAATAAAAATAAATGCATGTATGTATGTAATTACATATGAACTTACTGTTGTTGGCGAGTAGATTTTCGTGCAACTTATCGCGTTGATCCTCGAGCACCTCACCCAAATAGGCGGCAACTTTGCGCGTAATTTGCTCCACGTAAGTATCTAATTTACCCAAATCATCGGAGAGACCGACCAATTGATCGAGTGTACCCACCTGAAAGAGTATGCAAATGTAATGACGAAGAGGAAAAATGCTTGGTTTTTCGAAATTTTAATATTTTAATAAAAAGTTTA